TATCCTATATACTTGAACTCAGTTAAAATCCTATCTCCTTTTGCTAATAAACTTGCTTTATTTTTAATCTAAACCAACCCAGTGCTGTGTGGGTTTAAAGTGAATGTTAATTCCAGTTAATGTGGCAAGCTGCTGGGTATTGTATCTTTAAAGGAACAAATGAACCTTAATATCTCTCTGATGGTCCAGAAGAGGGCTGGGCATTGCAGATCACATAGTTTTGGGAAAATTCGGGATGGGGTGGTATTTGGGTCATCTTGCCAGGTGTAACCAAGGTCAGAGTGTGGCAGCAGTGTAATAAGTTGCTGAATCAGAGCTGCTTTTCTCTCTCTCTCTCTCTCTCACACACAGACACACACACACACACACTCTGCTTGCTTTTATGCTAGCTGGAAGAATCCAGACAAGGGAACTACAGTAGCAGAGCATTTGGAGGCATTCAGGGTTACAAGGCAGGAAGTGACACAACCCCTCACTGGCCTGGACTGCACCCCCAGAATGTGACAGTGCATCAATGACAACTAACATGTCGCATCAAGAGGAGAAACGGCTCACACTTCAGCATTAAATGTTGTCCAACAAACAACAAATACTTAACCACTCATGAGCAAGTGCAGCTGAGGACAGAAAAAAAGCTGTCTGAAGAATGTCTATGGAGACCTTGGAAAGAATGTTGGCCTTGATCATGTAGTTTCTGCACAGGTAAAACTATTACTGATTGGGCCAGGCCCATTGGATCAGTTTGACCTAAGTCGCTGGAGATACCAGTCCCAAGCACCATGATCTGGAGCAAACACTGCATGTAGCTCAACTTGCTCCACAATATATAAACTGGGCATAGATGAGTGTAGAAAGCAACATCACAACCCTGTCACCAGAAATGGAATTATTTGGCACCTGATTGCCTGGAGGTGAATGATATCTGCAGTCCCAGCACTATTCCAGTGCCCCTGAGATGTGATGCCTTAGGTGGCTGCCTATCATATCACTGTCCGACTCTTAGATACGTTATACTCTAGGGATTAAAGGGCTGGAAGTCAGGATTGTATCCTGAACTGTGCCATTGATTGGTGTGTGACAGTACGTAAATCATTTAACCTCTCTTGTGCCTCAGTTCCTCATCTGTAATACGATCTCATTCCTGTTATGTATCGTGGTAAAAATCCAGGTCTTTCCGTTACTCTTGCTATCCAAACACAGCAGTTTTATATGATCACTGATATTTGTAGAAAATGCCACAAAGTAACAAAAAGTACAAAAATATAACTTCCTGCTTTTGTGAAGAGACTTCTGCTTTTAGCTACAACCTCTCATGCCCCCAGCTTCCTCAAGGAGTTTCTCAGTTTTGTCCTATGATATGTACTCCTGACACTACTGTGTTCACCCAGTTTTGTGCTGCCTACCACTTCATCCACTCTTTGAGTCAGCTAGGAAGACAGTGGAAGTCAAGAGCAGCACAAATGAAGAGTCACGTGGGTCATCTGCCTTCTTGGCAGCTTCAGTTAAGGAGGGCTCTACCACCCCTTATGCTGTTACTGATGTAAATGAAGGAGAAATCAGAGGTTGTCCTTAGTTGGGTAGGAGAGAAACTGCAGTGGGTGCTGGCATTGCAATCATTTTGTTGAAGAGGGAAGAGACTTACAGTGACCACACTTCCCCACCAAAATTTCAGAAAATTTCCTGTTTGCAGATCTTCACCCCCGCTGTGCATGGAAGTCACCAGTTTGAGTTTAGTTCATACACATTTCCAGGGAAGTATATGTCTGGCTAATTTTTCTTCGTCTGCTTGCATCTTCTGGCTTTCACTATGACCATCATTTTTGACGGATCAGATTGGAACCTGTACCGAAACAGTGGCTGGCTGACAATGCAACATCATTTCAGGAAGAGAGACAGTATTTTCAGGAGAGAGCTCTAGCATTGGCTTGGCTTGTCTGCCCGTAGTGTAAATGAGAGAGAGATTTATGTGAGCATGATGTAACAGCATTATGTCACATGATCACCACATGCTGTTTTCACTGTGTACACAGCACAAATCAGCCTTAGTCATCATCATCCAAAACACCATATGCCTTCCTCCAGCTGATTAAATGAGCACATGACTCCCTGATCCTTCTATCACACTCTACACACGCAATTCCTAATACTATATGGGGAAGTCAGGTATTTATTATGGGGTTACCTAGAGAACAGTATCAGAGACACACTAATAATTTGCATTTCTAGACTCTTACTTTACAAACATTAGTTAATTAATAATCCTCAACGTCCACTGATGTATTATTATCCATACTTGAATGGTAAGGAAAGTAAGGTACTGGGAGGGAAAGATCAGCCATTTCAAAAGTAGACCTTGACTTTTGGGTGCCTAGTTTTTGGGCGGTGTCCAACTCGAGCACTCACAGCTTCCATTAACTTACAAAACCATGCTCTCAAGTGTCCCTTGCCTGTGTTCACCATAAGCTGGGAATGAGTGACACGGGATGGATCACTTGATGATTACCTGCAATGTTCATTCCCTCTGAAGCACCTGGCATTGGCTGCTGTTGGAAGACAGGATACTGGGCTACATGAACCATGGATCTGGACCAGTATCCAGTATGGCCGTTTTTATGTTCAGTTAGGCATCCAAAAACAGAGATCTCTGTTGAAAATTTTGATGCAGAAGACTTGCCCAAAGCCAGAGAGGGAGTTAGCAGAAGAGTAGGAAATAGAACCACAGTCAGCATTCTGTTCTCACTGTTAAAGAACACTGCCTCTACCTGGGTGTATGAAATTGGTTTACTTTAGAGCTGTGGGATCCCTTGGGTTGAATGTTGCCATCTAAATGGATGGTGTAGCAAACTAAGGGTATGTCTACACTGGCAAGTTTCTGCGCCACAAGTTATACCACTTTTATTAAACCGCTGGAATTAAACCGCTGTTGCGTGTCCACACTGTGCTCGTGACGCTGGAGCGCACCCACATTAGCAGCTCTTGCAACAGCAAAGACAGCAGTGCATTGTGGTAGCTATCCCACTGTGCAACTGGCCGCAGGGTGCTTTGGGAAGGGTTTGCAATGCCTCATGGGGCAGGCACAACGTCACATGATGCAGGGTTCCCAATCCCATTGTTCCATGGGCATCCTACTACATTGCCAGCTGCTTTTCAACTGAAGTGTGTGTGTGTGCAGGGGACAGTGTGTGACAGGGAGTGTGTGTGTGTATGGGGGGGGGAGCGAGACTGTGTGTTTTGGGGGGACAGAGAGTGTGTCAGCATGCTGTCTTGTAAGTTCAGACAGCGACAGGAAGCAACCAGTCCTGAGGCAGGGGGAGGGGGAAACCCCGACGTCAGCCCCTGCCTCCCTCCCTGGGCTCTCTGCACAGCATCTGCCTCTGTGTTCAACAGCACGAGCATTCCACATTAATGGTTTGCTTTGTGTCCGAGAGCAGATCAGCACAGCAGGCAAGGGCTGTCAGAAACAGTCATTTGAAAGGGGAGGGGCGCATGTCTCCAGGGCAGCTAAGTTCAAAACAATGAGCAAAGCAGTCACTTGACGCATTATGGGACAGCTCCGGAGGCCAATTACAGCACAGAAAGCAATCAAGCGTCTAGAGTGGCAATAGAGCGCTGGAGCCTCTGCACAAATACCCGTTCGACTCTTGTTGAAGTGGTTTTTTTGCAGCACTGCAACTGAGGAGTTTCTGCACACAAAGTGGCTTGGCAGTGCGTACACGTCTGCAGTTTGAGTGCAAAAAGCTGCTTTACTGCGCAGAAACTTGCCAGTGTAGACAAGCCCTAAGTCTTGGTTGGAATGCCTCAATTATTGAGAATTGTAAGCACAAATCCTAGGAAGATTGTGTCACAACTACATAGTTAGAGGCAGATAAATTGAGTCCCACGTAGGCCTGTCAGTAGGTCTCTTGGATGAACCCTTATGTTAGATTACCATCAATTTCAGACAGGCAACATTCTGTATTCCAGTGTTGTACAGAATTATGTTCATGTACATTTGTGGCTATATACAAATACTACATGACAAATAGCTAAGCTCCTGTCTGCCCGGCATGGACGTCGCCTATCTCCTGACACTACATGGAGTTTAACTGGTGTCCCCTGCCTTGCTACAGAACATGATGTTTAGACCTCTACAGCAGTGCTGAATGGAGAGCAAACAGCAAAGAATAGAAAAAAGAAGATAGCACAATTTTTGTTTTATTAAAGACAAGTACACCTCTACCCTGATATAACACTGTTCTTGGGAGCCAAAAATTTTTACCGTGTTATAGGTGAAACCGCGTTATATCGAACTTGTTTTGATCTGCTGGAGTGCGCAGCCCTGCCCCCCCGGAGCACTGCTTTACCGCGTTATATCCGAATTCATGTTATATCGGGTCGCGTTATATCGGGGTAGAGGTGTATTTAGGGCTTCCTAGATTCCAGGCCTTCACTCTTGCTTGTACCCATCCCTCAGTGATCTACTCCCCAATGGGCTGAGAGGACTCTGCTCCTATCTAATCCTTCTCAAGGTTGTTGGGATCCTACCCCTATCCAATACCCGCCCCAAGAGGTGTGGGGACCCTGATCTACTCCCCCATGGGCT